CTTCCCAATATCCCACCTAAATCTCCCATCCTTCAGTTTAAATCCATCCCCTTTTCCCATCACTACAGATCCTGCTAAAAAGCTTGTCCCCAAAATCAGCCAGATCAGGGCCCAGTCCTAGCACAGCCCCGGGGCTGGGAGGGGGGAGAAGTGGACGCTGTGGCCCCTCCAGCTCCATCCCTCCCTCTCCCTCCTTCCCTTGCAGCTCCTCCGGGTGTTTTTCCGGCAGCAGGACGAGATCCGGCGGCTGAAGGACGAGCTGTCTCAGAAGGACATTCGGATCCGGCAGCTCCAGCTGGAACTAAAGAACTTACGGAACAGCCCGAAGAACAATTAACTCCCAGGGACATTTTCTAAATAAACTCTCGTTGTTTCTACTCGCTCTTTAACTTTATTGTCCCCACTGACCCAGCCGGGAGCCAGGACCCCGCCGAGATCCCGCGCCGCTGGATCCGCGTGTGCCCGGCCCTGATCCCGCTCTAACCGCTGCCTCCGAGGGGCCGGGGGCTCCCCGTGAGTAGGAGCCCTGTGCCCCCCCCTCGGGACGGGCCGGATTCCCGGGAAAGCTGACGCTTCCTTGCTATTAATTTCTTTTTCCTATGCAAAAAAATTGTGACGGCGGGGGCAGAACTGGAAGGGGTGGGAAGGGCTGGATCACCAAAGCTGGGGGGGTGTGGGGGGAGACTGGGAGCATTCCCATGGTGGGAAACTGGGAGCCTTTCCATGGTGGGAGCCCAGGATCCATCCCACGGTGGGAGCCTGTGATTCTTCCCATGGCAGAAGCCCGAGATCCGTCTGATGGTGGGAGCCCGGGATCCATCCCACATCCCACAGTGGGAGCCCAGGGCCCTTTCCCATGGTGGGAACTCAGGACTCTTCCCATGGCGAGAGCCTGTGATCCTTCCCATGGTGGGAATCCAGGATCCATCCCACTGTGGGAGCCAGGGACTCTTTCCCATGGTGGGAGCACAGGGTCCTTCCAACTGTGGGATCCCGGGACTCTTCCCACTGTGGGATCCCGGGATCCCTCCCGTGGTGCCAGTGGCCATGGCACGGCCGGGCAGGCTCTGGCACAGCCAGGATTTGGCAGGAGCAGCCTGTGAGTGTCCCAGGGCTGCAGCCCGGGAAGGGAGCAGCTCCACGTGCCCCAATATCCTTCAAAATAACAAAAAGCCAGGCTGGGGTTCCTACCTGGGAAGGGATTTTTGCTCCTTCCACCTCTGTCAAGAGGGATTTTCCCTCCTCCTGTCTGCTGGGACACTGCCAGGGCCACGGGGAGGGGGAAGGATGTCCCTGGGATGGATGTCATGGTCTGCCCCAGGGATGGACCCAAGGGATGGATTCTGTGGGATGGACCCTGTGGGATGGACCCAAGGGATGGATTCTGTGGGATGGACCCCAGGCATGGATTCTGTGGGATGCATCCCAAGGATGGACCCTGTGGGATGGACCCAAGGGATGGATCCCAAGGGGTGGTCCCTGTGGGATGGACCCCGTGGGTGTCAGTGGGTTCAGCACGTTGTACAATCCCAGGTTGGATGGATTTGATCTGTAGCACAGGGAAGGACACCAAACACTGCTGGATTTCCTTATACATCCCTATTTTCCCTGGCTCCAAGCTGCTGAGCTGCCTGGCACCCCCGGGCAGGGCTGTCCCCGTGCCCCCGGCGTGTCCCGCTGCCCCCGTCGCGTCCCACGTGCTGTCAGTGCCCGTTGTTATTTATGCTACCACGGAATAGTGCTGGAATAAAACCTTTTCAGGACACCACAGCCCTGGTCACTCCTGTCCTTCCTCCCCCAGGGGTTGTGTGGGAGCGCTGGGCCCCCCTGAGGGGGTGGGGGGACCCCCAGGGGCACTTCTGGGGGTGCACAAAGGGGTGTGGTGGGGCAGGAGGGGGGAAACGGCCAAAGGTGAATCCTGGAATGGTTTGGGTTGGAAGGGACCTTAAAAATCATCCAGTGCCACCCCCTGCCCTGGGCAGGGACACCTCCCACCAGCCCAGGTGGCTCCAAGTTCATCCAACCTGGCCTTGGACACTTCCAGGGATCCAGGGGCAGCCACAGCTTCTCTGGGCAACCTGTGCCAGGGCCTCCCCACCCTCCCAGGGAACAATTCCTTCCCAATATCCCAGCTAACCCTCCTCTTCCAGCTTCAAACCATTCCCCCCATCCTATTACTACAGATCCTGCTAAACTTCCATCCATTACAAACCTCCCGTGTGGTGACTGAGCTCAGATTTCCAGGGAAAAATGCCTCTATCCCTGTGTGTGAGCCAGAGGGTGCTGTGAGGGCAATTGGGATGGAAACGGAGTTTTTAAGCTTTATTTCCCATTTTTCCTGCTCTCGAGGGCTGTGTTGCCATTGGGTGCCAGGACTGGAGTTGCTGGGTTTATCCTGCCCCAGAACTGGAAGGAAACCCCCCTCTTTGGGTCTTGGCTGTTCCGTGTGAGGTCGTTCACGTCCCGCGGCCTCCGAGGGGACCCACTGCTTTAAATCATCCCTGGGAAGGGAAGAGCCAGTGTTTTTCCTTGGATTCCTGTAGAATGAGCCCAATTACAGCTGCGGGTGGGGATGATTAACGAGCTAATTAACATATCTGCAAACTTCAGCACAAACCCAGCCGGGGCCTCCTCAGGAGGCTGGTGCAGGATGTGACCCCGTGGGGTGGCTCTGGGTGGGCTCTGGGCTGTGGATCCCTTTGCAAAGGGGGCTCAGGGGGCTCCCAAAATGTTTGGGATGCGCCAAAAATCTCCAGCCGGAGCCGTGGCTGCCCAATTCCCGGGAAAAACCCTCAGCTGGGATCAGGATCGGGATCGGGATCGGGCTGCTCCTCCTGCACCTCCCCCTGTGGGGTCAGCTCCAGCTTTTCCCTCGGCACCAGCTGGGCTGATTAAAGCAGGAATTCCCGGTTTAGGGATGACACTGAGCTGTGTCACTCACTGCAGGGAAGGGGTGGAGAGCTGGGGGGGTCACCTGGAGAAGAGAAGGATCCAGGGAGA